GTACGGAACGCTCGTTCTGGAGACTTGCGCGGCTCACTTTTTGGAGGAAGTCTCGTACGAAAAACGCTCATTTTCACTAGCAAATGATGCCTTCGAAGCACTACCGAAACATGTGTGTTCCAAAATGATCCGCAAAACTGGTGTCAGACTGCAGTCCCGGAGAGTTTTTCTTTTCCTTTGTGTTCCAAAATGATCTGGGTTCCAAAATGATCCGTTTCTGGGTTCCAAAATGATCCGGTGCCCGTCCGCTGAGCGTCGCGCTCGAAAACAAGAAAAGTCGCAAGACCATGAGACCCCTTGGGAGAAAGAACAAAATATATAAATCAAAATAAAACAAACTCCTAAGTCATCATCCACTTTCACTTGCATGAAGTCGTTGTGCAGCGGATAGTTCGGGCTCAGGTCCACCTGCAGGTCCACAACTTCGGGACCCATGCAAACAAAAGTTGATAAATAAATCTGTGCCATCGGACATCCTCAAATTCATCTTTCAAAAGAACACTACTCAAGAGGACTAAACATCTAGGTCCGATCAATGTGCTGGCACGCCACGCGGGTGTTCAGATTCCTCCAGTGCCATTTAATCTCTGGATCCTTGGCTAGGGACACAAATTGAAGAAAGGTCTCCGTGCATCATTACAACATACAACCACAAGGCCAGCGAACAGGTGGCAGATGCAGCTGCCAATCTCTCAAAGCCTCAAACGACTGCCACGGCACGTTGGTCATCACTCCTTAGACCCACCCGTCGCTGCTCGCGGCTCGTCGCGTGCGATCGGTCCGGTGCTCGTCTCGGTGCTCGCTCTCGGTGCTCGCTCTCGGCCAGGTCTCGCGGATGGTTCTCCACGATGTTCCGCTTTCCCTGGCCGAAGCTGGGATTCCGCTTTGGGAGTTTGCATGAGGCGCAGGATTCAGGATCTTGTCCATCAACAAGAAATTGAAGACACTGCACTGTGTGTGTGTGTGTGTGTCACAAGGAATTCTACAACTCTATGACTCCATGCCCCCCCGAAAGTCCACCTGGTTGTCTCCGGTTGAAAACATACATTCCACAGATGCAGGTCCCGACACGATCTTGAGACATCCTCCCATCTGAGCAGATCTCATGCATGGTCCACCAAGATGCTCTTGCAAGGTATAGAATCGGTGCTAGTCTCAGTCTTTTCGCAATACCATTTCGGTGCCCTTGAAACCTTTGGTCACTGAGAAAAGTAGTAGGTCGCCCTGAGTATGCCTGAATGCTGTTTGGGCGCTGGTTTTTGGTGGGCTCGTTTTGGGGCGCACAACCAGCCTGAAGGTATTCCACAACCACTGAGCGCCCCGAGGCATCAGTGATCGCCCAGTGGAAGACTGCGGTCTTCATCACCTCTCAAGCTCTGTGCTGAGTTACTATAGTTTGCTATTAGGTTGGAGGCCATTGCTACTAGGTTGGAGGCCATCGAGAGTAGGTTGGAGGCATCGCTACCAGGCATCGCTAGTAGGTTGGAGGCCAGTTGCTAATAGGAAACAAAGAAAAAAAAGAAAGGTCTACTGCAATATATAGTTTGCGGATCCAGTGCTGTGTATTTGAATAACGAACTCCCCATAGACACCCCCATGGTAAACATCGATCAAAACCGATTGGTTGGTGGGTCTCCCTATTCCAATACACTCCAATACACGTCCAAGTCAAAGCAATCCAAGTGGTTTGGCCTTACCAAATCCAATCACCCGCAAAGGTTGCCACCCAAGAATTCTGGGGCCGTCAAGGATTCCATGAACGTTTTGGGGTGTGTTGAGAGGTCCAAGCCCACGAGATTCGGTCTGGGCCCATGGGCCTCTCAAACGAATCAAACGGCCACGACACCATTTAGCCCAAGAGAACGACATGAATACGTTTTATCTCGTTGACACGCCAAGTCAGACATGTGCCAGTTCAGTCTGAAAGGACGTCCCTGGTTTCTCGTTCGCATCGGTTGTGAGGTTGATTGATGGCTGCTTTTGGCCTCAACCAGTGGCCGCTGTGTAGCCTTATATAATTCGTCCAATGAATGAAGCCCGGATCTCCGATGCCGATGCGAAACGCCGGTTTTTTCCCGCTCCTCGGCAGGAACGTTAGGCAAGATCGGAGCCACCACACTTACTGATTCCAGTAGCTGGATGGCATCCTCTACACTTGAGCCTTGGATCAAACAAACAGCTGTGCCCAGCAAGGACTAGGGATTGAACGAAAGGAATGAAGGAATATGGCTGTACATTCATCAACTTCCTGACACCCTATGCATTGAACTCATGATTTTGGGATATTTTGGGAATCCTTCATTGTGACACATAGCGTCTGTGATGAACAAACCAATTTTCCTCAGGAAAGTTGAAGCGGCCTGGTGCTTCTTGGCGGCCCGCTTGGGATGAATGCCGCTGAGGCACAGTTTGCCAGGATGGCAGGAAGGACGGCCAAGGAATACAAATCTGGCCTCGGCTCGACTCTCAATTGAAGTTCAACAGGCGTTCATTTCTGAGCAACTGGTTAACTGTACAACTGGAGTTTCACGCTGGCAACACAACCACACGCATTCAACCAGCCAAAACATGGGCTTCAGTGTTTGAGTTCCTTGACCAGTGCTCACCCAAAGCTGGGACCAATCCTTGGCTTTTGACTCGTAATTACACCAGGTGTCAGTCCCCAGTGAATGGTGCTGGATTGAGCCAAAAATCTTTCCAGGCTGTGACTGCTCATAGACAGACTGTTCAAAATAGAGCGCAGAGATAGTCAAGCCAACCTCCGCATGTGAGACGTGGATGAGGTGTGACAGGATGAGAGGCTACATTCCGACAGAAATGAAGCAGCCACTGGTCCCTTGCCTCGTTCATGCCCTCAAAAGGAAACTTAAGTTCAAAGTCCGTTGGAGGAATGTGGAAGATGTTCATTGGCGCGACCCAACCTGTCAGAAGCAGATGCTTCAAATGTAAGTGTTCCTTGCACAAGGCCATCGTCGATCTTGACAAAACGTACTCACAAAACCAAACCTCAATCGTCGCCGGAAAGGGCTACGGCTATGTCTTGCTCAGCAGCCAAACTTGCTTCCATGCCCACGAGGGAAGGCTTCGATGCTATATTCGGTCTTCCCAAAAAGGTCCCACAGCTCCATGGTCCTGTGAAGACCAAGCGAGCAAGGACGCTACGAACAGAACAAGGGCATCGCTGGTAGCTAAGGGCATTACTACTAGTAGACAAGAAGCTACTAGGGGCTAGGGGCATCGCTACTAGGAGCAAGGACGCTATTAGGGGCTCTTGGCCCTACTACTAGGAACAAGAAGCTACTGGTAACAAGCTCTCCTTGGAATCAGATATGAGGTCTTTCCATTTGATTCATACGGAATCTCCACATAGCTGCACCTCAGTCCGTGCCCAAAAATCCAACCTAGCTGGTCATCTGGGTCATCAGAGCCCTCATTGAAACCCTTCCCGGATTTGTGCGCGGTACAGAGGACCCTTCAAGCACAGCAATTCTCCTTGTCCCTACACCCAAACATGTTAGGAACATCTTCCACAACCAGGACCCCTCAAAGATGTCTCTGGGAAGCTGACGCCCAAGAGAGTGGGAGGAAGCTCAGGAACTTCAGCATGGCCAGTTTGGATTCTCCCCCTCTGCGGTGCTTGAGCTCATACACTGATGAAAAAGGCCCGTCAGCAAGGAGATTCCTGCATCTCAACCACTCTGACACCGAATGATTTCACGGGAATTCGATACTATGAAAAACGCAGACTTAGAAGGTTTCTTCAGCCTTGAAGCGCTAGAAGTAGAGGAGTACAAACAAGAGTAACAAGAGGGGAGCAATATGCATCAGGCAATATATATTCCAAGACCTGCGAAGTGATCATCGCAACTGATCCATATGACCTTCCAAGGCTCCCCACTTCACCTTCGCTGGAAATGGTGGAACTGGTGCCGTCAAAGGAGTAGCTGCCTCTACAGCTTGTTTCGACCAGCCAAACCACACAGGTCACAGTGACAGACCGGCTTTAATCTCACACTCATAGGCCCAGCAGAAAACCCCTCACTCGACCAGGGTCTTTCTGTCGCATGTGGTGTCAGCTTGCTGTCCTTTTCTTGAAACAAACATTACTTCACCACACCCACTGGACTCTCTCCTTGGCAAGTGACCGTGGGAGCGTGCTTGCACACTGCGTCCTTAATTAAGTGTGATTACGCCGTTACGCTGTTTGGTGCTGGACTCCATTGGACGCATTGCGTTCTACGCCATCACGGCGACACGCCTGTCGATACCCCCAAACCCTAAGCCCTTGGTTATCGGTGTATCGGTCGGTGTGTGTCTGTATCGGTGCAAACGTGTTTATAGGGACCCGCATGCTTTCTCTGCGTCTTGAGGCCGAGGTACCACGCAAGATCACAGCCAACAGCAGAACGGGAGCACGGAGCATCAACTACAGTAATCCTGGTGATATTTTTGAATGGAAGCAAACTCACAATTACGGGTTTCCCGAGTTACGAGCGATCGCGAAACGGATGAGGAAGAACCAGATAGGGACAGGATTGACGAAAGTGACAGAGCCACAGAAACCACCAAACCTTCCCATACCAAACCCCTGCAAAGAAGGGATGTGCCAGATGTGCTTTGCACTGAGAACGTCAATGCCTTGCAACTTCCAAATCCATCCCAGGGCAGATCTGAACATGCATGTAATGTAACATGTACAGTCGGAGACGTGCAATTGTATTGCGCCACGGACCGTGGAGACATGACGACAAAATGGAGACATCACTCCACAGCAGTTCGATGCCTTTCAAAAGTCCTCCAGGGGACGACAGCTCGTAGATCCCCTGGCACTTCGGCAGTCTCAGTCTGGGCAGGTCCTATCTATCACTCTATTCTTGACAGGGAATGCAGGAACTGGAATCAATCATCATCTATACTCTGCACCGCAACACAGTATGCCATGCTGCCTCAGCCATTTGGCAGGATTGTACACCTCCCCAAATCATCTCATCTATTCTTGCGTTCTTTCTTTCCATCCCCTGATAGCAATCAAGCCACTCAAGCCGCACGCTGGTTTGATGAGCTCAGCTAAACAATAAGCCCTCCAAAAATACGAAGAAGGTTTCGGAGCACATTGTATGACACGATTTATCGCCATCTGGAATCTGAAAGTAACAGTACTCCCCATCTTCATTCATGGCCAAGTGAGAATGCTCTCAGAAAGTTTCTACGTCCCTGGCAATCTCTGCCATAAATCCGTCGGCTTTGTTTTGGGGACACAACTCTACCGGCGAACACTCCGCTCTCTCCAAAGCAGAGGGCTTTTCTCCAACTTTGCACACGCACATGTCAGGCGTCTGCATCGTTCAAAAGCTCTGGGCCATCAAGTGCCGCAACTTCTGCTTTCTCTGGCTCAGACCAGGCGTCTTCGAAGCAGATCGGATGAGGCAGCCCTGTCGTCTTCCAACTCAAAGCTGTGGTAGAAGCAAAATGTTTTCCTATCATCATGGTGACCTGCTTTTGCAGCATGCAGCATGCAAGACTTTAGCCTTCATTCCCCAGGTTTCCCACCCACCTCTTGTGCTGGTTCGGGCTCTGGCGCCAGCGAAGGCGAAGCCAGCGGCTCGCCTTTCGGCAAAAAAAAGCACTGGAACCGAAGTGCCAACTGCAAAAGCTCATCACCCTGCTGTAACCATCTGTCGTAACCTGGTGGAACCCATCTGCTCCAAGTTGGATGGAACCAGGTCATGGAATGATGACGATGACTCAGGCCAGGCACTTCCCGTGTGGCCGTCTGCACCGCTGAAGGAAGCACTGGCCTGGCAACCGGTGCTACCTAACCAGAGTCGAATTGGGTGAAGTAGCAGAGAGTGGTGCAACAACCTTGTCTCGCACAGACTGATTTTCCAGGTCAACCCTGCTCTTTTGGATGTTATAAGCAGGTTATCCAAAGTGCCACCTTGTGTGACATGAATCTCGGGGAAGGATCCTTGAATTGAATTGAACTCGGGATCAATCGGTTTCGGCAAAGCCCTCTCAGGATTGACTTGGCATGGGAAGGGATAGCTAAATCACAAAATGCACAAATTCCTCGTCAGGGTTTGCTATTGAGGAGGACATGGACAAAGGGTCCACTATTTGAAAGGCTGACAAACCCCAACACCTTTTTCGAGACATGACCTGAACGCAAGAGCAGAGATGCCTGCCTTGCTCTCTTGGCTCTCCAAACGCTCACGGCCAGCCCCGTCGCGAGGCTCTCGGGGCTTACGCCGGCCTTTGCCCTTCCTGGGGGGGAGACGTGGGGGGGTTGTCAGCCTGGGCAGAACAAATAGACGAAACCAGTTCCAAGTTCCAACGCATTTTGAGTGGATGCAGTTTTTCTGCTCATTTTGGGAGTCTTGTGGTGGGCAGGACTGACTAACGTATGCATTGCACATAGTTGATAATTTCATATCATCACATTGAAGTTCACCTGACATTTGCATACATTTGCATGTGTCAATGAAATCACACTTTTCGGCAAGAGAATGGCTCGAGCCCAGCCTGCCCTTGCCGTTGCTTTTGCCTTCATCGCCTGTCGGATGGGATTACAGTACGGGAGTCGCCGGCCCAAGGACTTGATAGTCAGCAACAAGGAACCATGGTCTTTTGACAGCATCAAACAACAGGCAACAAAAGAACAACTTCCTCCTCCGAATTCATCTCTGGCGGCCTTCAAGACGACGCAGCACCCCGCCCACACACCAAAATCCCGGCCGCCTGCGAGGACCTCGCCGTCGGCAAAGGCGATGAGGTTCCCGGCGGCATCGGAGGGCAGGTGCTGCAAGAAGCGGTGCCTGGGCTCACCGGTGGGTCTAGCGGCTCGACGGTGACCGATTCGACCGGGTTGAAGCGGTGGGGGGGTCAGACCTTCTGAGGTCACTCGAGCCAACAGTCGAGCAGCTGTTACAGTAATACAGTCGAACAAGTCCTCTAGACAGCACCCAAGTAAGAAGACCTCAATTTTTGGGTGATCTCTGTGAAACCTTAGGACGTTTGGTTTCACAATTGCAGGAAGAGTTCGCCTCAGTCACACAGTGGATCGGATAGTGGGATAACACTAGTGGCAGCCTGTTGGTCATTAAAGGCTAGAGGCTGATCATGATCACCCCCTTTTTTCCCTGATCAAACAAACATAGAAACTCTCATGGAGTTTCTCAGAGTAGAGCAAAATGATCTGTCATTATCTGTCCAACTCCCGATCCCAGTTTCCGAATACGTCTGTGAATCTTCGTGTCTTTTCACTAAACACAAACATGAGCCAAAGGACACCTCAAATCCATCATCAGTTACCCATTCTCCCGGCAAATCCATCCGGTCCATCTGCCTCTTCTTCATTTCATCTGTCAACGCCTCCTGTCGCATGGACTTCAGCGGCTTCAGCAGCACCGACGGCGGCAGGCGTGCCCAGGTGCTGCGGCCAGCGGGTTACATGCACGGAGCAGGTCAGGGATTAGTCATTGATCTGGCTCGAGTGAAAGGAGGTCACTACATCATCAGCTTCAAAAGCCCATCAAAAAGTTCGTTGGAAGGTTCTGTCCGGCAGCTTGTGAGGCCCGCAGGCCTGTAGCTCGACAGGAGCTGTTTCATGAGATGTGGTTCCTGGGTGCAAAGGCTCGTCGGGGAGGGACACTCATTAGGTTGAGCCTTTCCAAAATGAAAGAAGTATCGTAGATAATTTTTTCATATGTTTCATAGTTGCGTCTTCAATTTTTGTATCATTAATGTAGTTAAAGTGTTTGACGTTTTAAATCTCAAATTAAGAATTTTAGAATAGTAAAGTGTATGTATATGAATCTTAAATATATGTGTATATATATATATATACATGTTCCTTGCATCCATGTTTTTGTATGTCTACATGACATCTACTGGGACACACACACAATCACACACACCTGCTCGCTCTCGCTCGCTCTCTCTCTCTCTCTCTCGCTCGTTCGCTCTCGCTCTCTCTCCTTCTTTTTGATGTGATGACTTGTATAGTCCAGACCCCCAATTGCAAGCCAGAATCCAAGAAAATGAGTTGCCCGTCTGAGCTCTGGTAGAAGACCAATGTTTCGGCGCCTGCCAAGGCCACATGGAGGATCTTGCACCCAATGAATTACCGTTGGAAACACGTGTCCGCTACAGACCTTAGCAAGCATGCACCTACATGTTGTCCAGCTGCTCTTCCACTCCGGAAGCTTTGTATGGAGTGCTGCAAACTAATGAATCACCCAAAACTGGATGAAATCCCCACACGGCCCCTGCCACACCTCCATGACTCATCCCCCATATGCCCCATCACCTGCCTCCATCCTCCGTCTCCTTCAGCCCCTCAGCACCCCTAAGATCCTCGGCCAACTTCGCGCGCAAAGCGGTCACGGCCGGCTCCAGCAGGGCACCCTGACATGGCAAGGGTCTCATTTGCGAGACCAAACTGAACCTAGATCGGACTCCTTACTCATTGGCGACAAAGCGGTTTTATGGCTTTAGGGCCTCCAGTGAGAAGCAACGCGCCTCCACCCAAAGGGTCGGAGGGCGGCGCGTCGTAGCTGGAGGCTTCAGCCCACCCCAAGACCACCCAAACCTGTAATCTATTAGGGCTAAAAGGCTTTTTCCAAAAGAACCTGGCCGGGCCGGTCTTTTTGCTACAACCTTTCCTCTTTGGAAACGCAGGCCCTTGCCTCCTGGCCCACAATTTTTACGTGCAATATTAAAAGTGATCGCTTCCAATTGTTCAACGCGTTTTAACGTTTTTGCAAGTAGCGGCTTGGAGTGCCCCAGCACGGCCCTCCCTGGCCTTGCGCACAGGGCAACCAAGTTGCTCGTACGTCCGCCCGTTTTCGCAACCAACGATCGAGTCTCTTGCGCGCGCAGCCCCAGCTCCAAGACGCAAGCGAAGAGCGCGTCGATGTCCCGGACGACCAACCCAAAGTCTTGTCGGCGCCATCTGATTCACTCAAATCTGTGGAGCGCCTCTAACCCCATCGCGAGAGCCAGCGTTGCAAGCTAGAGGCGAATGCGTTCGGACGCCAAGGTGGGCTCGGGCGCTGGCTTCCAGCTCCCGCTGCAACCGTGCACTGCAGACGCGGCTGCTGTGCCCTTTGCCAGGCCTTGGGGTTGGGGCACCCGACCGTCAGAGCAAACACAGGCAGGATAGGAGGCAGCGCCCGGACCGTTCAAATGAAGTTGCTGGGCCAAATGGCTTCGGCGCTACGATTGCAATAAGCCCCAGTAACCGGTAACAATTGATGGCACAGGCATCAGCAGCATCCTTTTCACCACAGCGGGGCGCAAAGCCCGGTCGCCAACGCTACGGCCGGGAAGGCTGGACATGATGCTGGGGCGGCTCCAGCAGCGTCACCTCCACGAAGGTGGCCACCCACGAAGTAGAACCCCAAGGATGCGACCTGCAGCAGCACCACAGCCACAGCCCTGTCCTTTTCATCGTCCACCCGATAAGCGCGGGTTGCCAGCGCGCGCCAAGGTGAGCAAAGCGTTGATGGACACAGGGTGGCTCAGCTCCGCAAACGCCTGAACCAAGTTACTGACCCAAACCACGCGCGTCCAACCACTCGGCAAGATCATATTCCCCCTTCGCCTTCCAGGCCCGCAGCATGGCCCACATAACTTGTCGTGAGCGTGGCGGTCCGATGTGATACGCTGCAAATTCCTAAATCTACAAGCTGCAAGTCAAACTGAAAGCCTAAAACCATGCTGCTTAGCATGCTCGAGGCCTATAACCACGAAACTTCAAGCCTAAAACCTTCAAAACAGGCATGGCACGCTTGCAAACTGTAGCGTCACAGCCAAAAATGTTAACGAGACGCGCGTTTAACCCAAGCCTTTTGCTTGTGACGGCGGCGCCAAAGGAACAGGCTCCATGAAAAGTGATGCGACTAGGGGAGCCAGGGTAAACATACAATGCTCAACAGTGCACGACAGTGTGTGAGCATTGCAAAAGATTTCGCGAACATGTCGTAACGTATCTACAATTTCTAAACGCAGCTAGACAGGCTGAAGCATTTGGGATTTCGCGCTGCTACACCACTGCTACACGCCGGTCATGATAATGTTGGAGGGGCGCTTGGGCCAGTGAACCATTTGCGGGTTCAAGACTTACCTTGAGAAGGCCTACAGAAAACAGCTTTAAAATTACCATCAAGTTAAGACTTCACAGCCTGGCTACGGTCCGAACCCCCGCGCTTTAGGATATGTAATACTTATTACTATACATGTATACGCATTTAAGCACAGTCTGCATAGGCACCTTTTATGTAAGGATACAAAGGCGGGATGGGGCACAAAGCTAACTCTTTGTGATCACCTTGTCAGGCTTCTTTGTCTGCCGAGTCGAGCGTCCGCAAGCCATGATCGTATGGTCTTAAGTGGACACTGGACCGGCCTACCTTGCTCCTAGTAGCTTCTTGCTCCAGTAGTATGGCCAGGAGCCCCTAGTAGCGTCCTTGCTCCTAGTAGTATGCCCCTTGAAAACGGCATCAACTGAAATTGCGATTGTTAACAAGTCAGCTCACAACTGCCATGGATACATCCGGAACTTCTTATCACCTGTCTCTACAAATATGTCACCAAAAATCACCAAAGTAGATTCAGGCCAAGCAAAACAACACATCCCAACAAGAAGATCTAGAGTTCTAAAAGCCTGAACCTCCAAGCCCAACAGCTCCCTCAAACGCCTCTTCAGGGCTTGAGGCCGCCATTGACTCCAGGTTCCGGAGATCTGCCAGGGCATGACCGGAAGAATCTGAAGGATTCGTTGAGCCACGCTCATTTAAAGAACAAAATGTGCAAAAAGACCCACCTGAGAATCTATGCGAATTATAAAAAGCAGGTGGAAGATGTGGCGCCAGAGTTCCTTCGACTTCGACTTCAGATGCATCTGAACGCTCGCCTTCGTGCAAGGCCGTGAGGTAAAGCTCAACGTCTCCGAAGATCCGGCGAGCGAAGAGGGCACCTCCACTGAGAGGTGCTGGGAAGACTGGTGAAGCCGGGTCCTGGTAGCGTCCTTGCTCCTAGTGGCGATGCCAGGAGCCCCTAGTAGCGATGCCAGGGGCCCCTAGTAGCG